GCTGCCACGCCTGAGAACCAAGCATGAGTCAGCTTGGGCTCCAAGCCTAAATGTTCCACATTTGGGCTCCAAGCCTAAATGTTCCACAAGGTGCCTAACAGGTAGTCTCCCGAAAGTATTAAAAACTTTTACAAGATGAATCAAACACTGCACCAACCACAGGTTGGGAGTTGGTCCACGCATCATCAACGAACTCAATGGCCTAAACCACATTAAAGTAGTTGCATCATGTTGCATCAGAGTAAATTGCACTAGGCAAGACCGTCCGAACCTGGAATTTACTGTAGCACATTTCAACATGACATGAGATTTCACGCAGCCCAAAACACGATAAAGAAGCCCACTACGGTCTGAGGTCAGACCACGCGGGCATTCTTTCATCTGTGGCCAGACAAACAACAAACGCCTGCAAGAGTTCACGGGGCCACAAACCATCCGTTTCAATAGGACCAAGGTTCCGGAATAGGACCAACTATCAACTCCTTTTATTGTGCACGGGTTGAAATCTTATGACTGAATGGCATACCTCCAATCTTCCAAACAGAGTGGCGGAAGCTTAGCAGAGAACACTTGGCAAGTCAATAGCCTCAGTCCAATTGTATCGTGAGAAGGATCGCGGTTCCAATAAACAGACCAACCACGAAACATTTCATCGGACATCTCAGTCCCATCGAGCAAAACACAAGTTTTCACTGCTTTACGAGCAGCTCGAAAGGACATCGGCCCATCTAAGAACAAAACATTCCCTTAACTAGATCATTTCAATGCTCCAGCAACCTTCATCACATTGCAAACGATCTCCGCAAACAATTCGGAAACGTTTTCAACAAGTAATCTGGCCGTGGGACTGCCCCAACGAAATCTATGCAATCGCAATTTGGTGCTAATGCTGATGCAGGTCACATCAGGCAAAGGTTCTTCCTTAACAGCTTTGAATGCAGCACGACCACCTTTAAACTGACCAGATTCCTCAAGAAAAACATTAAACACTTGCCTCTCCTGATGGGAAACATACGTGGTCAAAACTTTCAAGTGACTTTCAAGATGAGGAACAAACTCCTCAAGATTGTCAATGTTCGGCAAAACCACAACTGAGAAGCGCAAGTCAGTGTTTGCCGTTACCCGGTACCCAATCACAAAAAGTAGTTGTAAGCCCAGCAGCGGGGCAAATGGCGTGCCAACACTCACAACTCTGAACAAAGGAAATACCTGTCTTCATGGAACAAAAAAGGTGTTTGACAAGAAGCATGCTCCAGTGAATATCAACATTGCCCAGCCGGCCGTGCCGAATACATGGCTCGCAGACAAAGTGTTTTTTTGGAGAAATTGCATGGCATCTACATTGTACATAAGATACCCTCTTCATCTCGGGCAGAACGATGTAAAACATTTTCAGCAGCAATACTCCAAAGACGAAAGGCGTGCAAAATCTAGTTTTGGCCAACTAAACCTTGAATTTGACCTGCAAGACCATATGACACACTCTCAGAAGGTTCCTCAATGGAAACATCAACCTAAAACCATCAAAACAACGTGAATGCGGCCAAACAAACTTGCAAAACCCTGCGTGCGGGATACGAAAACGCTCAGTAAGAGTAGGATGTGAATCAAAATCAAAGGTTTCCACAACCTTCACACCACGAGCCAACAAAGGCCAAGAACGAACGACCCCCGAGCGGCACCTCTACAAGCAGGCTCCACATACATAGCCAAATCTCTCAAAACTCAGCTTAGCAAGATCGCACCATCCTTTCCGAAAAAGAACGCTAGAGGACTCAAGATGTTCGAATTTAATATTGAAATCACCTACAGTGAGCGTCGGTAAGACAACACGCCCTTATGAGCTTCATTGAATACAGCATTGGCCGCGTCTGACTTAAGGTTCAAAACATCGTCTTGCGACTTCGCAGGCAAAAAAGCAACGATGATATGGAGACGGCATGAGGCATTCACACTAACAACAACTTCAAGAACTCGACCATACTCCCAAACTGTCCGATCAATATCGTTGAAAAGCTTATGACATTTAAAGGTATTTAAGGAGGAAATCACTGCACAGCCAGCGTTGCTCCCTCTCCATGATTCACACAGACCCCTAGTCTTGCCACATGCATCAGAAAATTGGCAATGCTTCTGCAACTTTCCACACTCCTTCATGATGGAGTACCTAGCTTGCCTTATACCCGGCCCAAACTCAGCAACTGGGGCCACTTTGCCATACAAGTCTGTGGGATTATATTAATAAAATGAACCTTTACTGCCTTTACTGTACAAATGAGGTGCTGGATTAGAGGCCTTGCCAACCCTGTGGAAGGGAAGAACCCACAAAGACAGGGACGGCGCAAAAGAGGTCCAACAAATGCGATGACAAAGCAAAAGTGGATCAAAAACCTGCAGCCGAACAAGCACCGCACGAAATCGGTATGCATCAGACTTTGATCTCAAGAAATGAAAATTGCCACTAAAGAACATTCAGGGACACGCTGCAAAGTAAACATCACGAAAACGCAAATCTGATTTCTCACCTCAGCGTTCACCTCGAGGTGAAATTCCCGGCAAAACACATTCGAATGCCAGGAGCAAGGACGCTACTACGGCGTCCTGGCATCGCTACTAGGAGCAAGGACGCTACTAGGGCCCAACCATCCAGCACATCAACACGACAAAGGATGGCAAGCCAAATTGGGAGGGCAAGACACTGCGAGTTGCACCCGTTTTTGTACGAGGTGGACACCACTGGCCAACAAGTGTGCAGCACAAGATGCAAACAACATGTCACATGCTCGGCTGCCGAATGGAAGAACCATCATCGAGCTTATGTTTCTCGCTCAAGCTTTCAACGAAGAGCCTTCTGATCTCATCCAAAGTTGCTTCACTATTTTTTTCCAATGCCTTTCTTTGCTTTGCCTGCTAGGACTCAGCTTGCCGGAAGTAGTCATCAAGCTGCTTGGTGACACTTTGTGTCTGGCTCCTCAAGACACCATCAAGGTCTGCCATTCCGGACTGAAAGGACTGGATCGCCTCTTCTTGTTGCTTTTGCAGCCCTTGGATGTGACTGATTCTCCTGAACTTGACGTTGCAAATTCAAAGCGACCTGTGCTTGCGATTTCCCAAACTGATCCAAACGCTGCGTCAAGGCAATCTGCGACTGCTCCAGTGCTTCCAAAGGCTTGATTCAATTCAGCTTTCATGGACTCCTTCACATGGTCATTCATGGCCTTCTGCAGGGCCACAACAGGGTCAGAACACTTGCAGAAACCACATCAAAAGAACGCGAGGAGCCCTGCACGGCAAGCTTTTTTGTCGACCGAGGCAAGAATTGTCCGGTCAAATTGGAAATCAGATTTGAGACAATGTCATCACCATCAATGGGTACAAGCACGGAAACCATTCGCTTTCAGAATGTACACTTTCCACTTCATGGCCCAAAGAGCTTGCCGTAAGCCCTGCTTGGAAGTACCTTGTGGCACGTTCATGACTGTGTAACGAGCTACACCACCCAGACCATTGAGGTCCTCATCGGCAAAGATTCATCAGGGAACGGCCGTTTCTTCACATCACGGTTTTTCTCTCTCGGCACACGAATTCCCAAGCTACCATTGATTCATTCGCACCACACCGACATTCCCTCACACTCGCAGAAAATGTAGTCTGAATCTCGTGAAGAGATCTCAGACCTGTGTCGACAATCCTATATCTGTGACCCCCTTCACTACCTTTGCTCATCATAAAGAGACCCTTCTGACCTGACAATTTCAAAACCTGTCAAGAAGATCATCCGAAGCCCGGCACACAAAGTGTGCATGCTTTGCAAAGGAAAGCTTGTGGGAATCCAAAGGCCCAAGTCTCAATCGGGATTTTGGCACTGGCTCCACTGCCATTCCTCAATTCAAATTCAGGAGCATTATCACTATCTTGCTATATTTCATTATCCTCTCTCACCACCTGCACTATCACAACAGTGCTGCTAGGAGGACCTGAGAGTTTGACTGCAATGGCAACTGAAAAGGCAAGGTCAGCATCTCCACACTGCACCAGTGTGGCTGCTTGCACTGCCGCTGGACGACCGTCGACAAACGCAGGAACTGTCGAGTCAAGACCTTAGCCACAGAAGGTAGTGGCTCATCCAACTTGCCAATGACAAGGAGGCCAAGCTCATCGGTAGAAAGCTTGTTGGCAGTAACTTGCACAAGCAATTCGGAAAGCCTGGGGTCTTCCTTCTTCAACGTGCTATTCTGCCCAAAGTCTTCAAAACGAAGGGCTCGGTGGTGAGCCATCAGCGCAACTGACAAAGGAGTAGTCAACTGCGATCTGCGATTCTCTGTGCTTGCCTTTTCCAGATCCCTTTTACCGATCACGTGCTTCCTGCCACCAATCCACAGACCCTTCAAGTTGGCCGCTGAACCATTCCGCTCATCTTGCTGAATCAAAGTGATTCCCAAGTCATTGGCAAAGCCTTTGAGAGCAATCCAGCCATCTTTCTCACCGATGCACTTTCAGATTCACAAAGCCGACCTTCTGGATGATGAACATGGTGCGATCAGGAACGCGACCTTCTGGCACACCCTTTGCAGTCAACGTATTGGCCAACCACTGTTTCACATCAGCATCACGACCACCTCCTGTGAGGCCAATCTGGTGAACGCACAAAACATGATTCCAGAGGAATGAATTGGCACATGTTCATCAGGCACCTGATTTTTGCAGCGAATCACGAAATAACCACAAGGCCACTAATTTCTCGTGCTGCGCAAAAAGATGCGCTTGGCGAAAGCACAAAAGCGGATGCACATTGTAGATACCAACTGGCTCAACTACGGCTTTACACGGTAATTTGGGGAAAGAAAGAGAACAGAGGGATGGAGAAACGTAGGAATGAAGGAGCGAAGGGAAACGAAAGAAAGCTGAGGAACGCGCAAGAGAAGGAGAACGTGATGTGATTGGCGGAGTATCGTCATTTTATGGGTAGAGCGGCCAGCTTGTTTGATTGCAGAGACCAGGACATGATGCAGGAATTTGTCGCGCGAGCCACCTTGCCGTTGGCAACGGCCTTATGCCTTTCCCATACTTGAAGTATCTCGCAGTGCTTAATGCGCAATTTGCTGTGAGCTGAGGTGACTGCTTTGCCCCATGGGCTGCTGGGTTTCAAGGGCCTTGAAGGTGGTGGTGCCGCGCTAGTCTTGTGCGCTGCTGCGCAGAGTCGGGGCTTCCTTGAGGCTTCGGCACTCCGATGCCCTTTTCATTGAAAGGTGGGTTACCGGACAACCCAATTCACTGAAAACCGATAGGGGCCAACCAGCTAAAAGCATGGATTTTTCCCTCACCCACTGCTTTTCAATTTTGAGCTCCAAAATACCCATATCTTACAGACATTGGAGCTGTGCTTTGTCCTCAGATTTCTCATTCGCTCTGTCAATGCGGTTGTCAGGTGGCGACGATATACCATCAAACATTGAAAGCATTCCACGCCTCTACCTGCCCTGAACTTGGCCCAGGCGGGCTGGGCCTTTTGCCCAAACCATCTCTTTCCGCAGACTTGGTTCCGAGGTGATCACATCCTGAGCTATTCTCCTCCATCACTTCAGTGGACCGCGGTGCCTGGTCGAGCCAAAGCCGCTGTAGCCTTTGCTGGCTCTCAGGCTGGAGCATTGTGAAGAGACTTGCAGCCAGCCGTCTCATTCGGGCGTGGGTCAAAGCCAAACCTGACATCAAACCACAACCTTCTATGCCATTGCGCCTGCAAAGCGTGTTCCTATATACGCGTTCGCACCGATACACCGAAAATTACACCGATGCACCGATACACCAAGGGTTAGGGTTTAGGGTAACCGTCGCAGTGGTGTAGAACGTAATGCGCCCAACACCAAACAGCGTAACGGCGTGATCACACTTAAGAACACAGTTTGCAAGTATGCTCTTCTGGGTTTGTTTCATAATGTCAACGTAGGATCAGAACCCAGACTAAATCTCTTCATGAGGAGGGGTACCCCAGACTTATTGAATGCAGTTGACGAAGTTGACAAAGAACTTATTCAATCGAAACGTATTTGTTTCAGTTTAGTGAAACAAACTTGATTCAATTCGAAGATGTTTCATTGCGTTCCTCGGAAGCTCGTATTCGGAATTTGTTCATGACACGTAGTCTCTGTTCAAGGGAGAGGTGGGTGGGACCTCTTTTAGTTTGCGCGTGTTGCTTTTGGGCAGTGGGGGAGCCATGGACGAACCTGGACTTTCTGCTTTTGAAGCCCTAACTGCCGTTGTTGTTGAAGAAGCACCTCATGGAACAGACCACGAAGCTGGCAATTCATCTGGTGAGTGCAAGCCACAAGAAGAGCCAATGTTGACAGCCGACGATGCTCTACATGAAGCGAACTTTGAAGTTGGCGGCTTGCCTGGCGATGGGCAGGCACGTGGACGACAGGTGCTGGACAAAAGTCCGATCTTCACTGAGAAGGAGCGCGCAAACTTTGAGAGGACAATCTTTGAGCAGAGCTTGACATCGATTGGCGCAGGGATGCCTGCCTTGCCGTGGGAGCAGGGCATCTTCAAGGAGATTTTTGGAGAAGCAAAGTCGGACAACTTGCCCATGCTCGAGGACCTAGTCGCTTATCCAGCTGGAGCGGCCCCTGGATCGTCAGATGACGCAAGACTGAAAGTTGAGGTCACAGGTGTCACATCTTCTTTGCCTGGGGACATGCCGCTATATGCAAAGCATATCAAAGCGCTGTGTGACAGAGATTATGCAGCAACGTTAGATCTCACCTGGACTAAAGCTTTGGCAAGTTGGTTGATTGTTCTCGAGGACTGCAACTTCGAATCATCAGTTGGTCACTACGTTCAGGAGAAGTTGCAGGCCCTGGACAGGGATGGTGCCTTGCTGTGCATCAGAGATGCGTGCGGGGTGCGTTCACCCTCCACCGTGTTGAAGAGGGCTCGAGACTTGATCTTTTTCGTGAAGTGGTGCGAAAAGAATGACCTGCGGTGGTGGCCCATCAAGGAGCGGAACCTCCTCGACTACCTGCAGGGCAAGGAAGACGAGAAGCGAAGCAAGTTCATCGGCAAGAACCTCATCCATGCCTTAAAGTTCTTCAAGTACATCATTGGAGCAGAGTTCAACATCGAAGCTGTGCTGGGTCCAATGCTGACCGGGAAAGTGAGCAGAGTTCTGGCGACCAGAGACCCGACTGAACAAGCTAGGGCATTGACAGTGGCAGAGGTGTTGAGGCTTGAGGTCATGTTGGACACAGTCAAGAACAAGTATGACAAGTACTTCATCGGGTGCATCCTCTATGCCATCTACTCTCGTTCGAGATGGAGCGACATGGCCAACATCCACCACTTCTTCTTCGATGTGATAGACACAAGTGATGGCCCTTTTGGATTCGTGGAAGCCAGAACCAGAATCCACAAAACTTCGACCACTGCAGAAAGGAAAGCTATGTACATGCCGTATGTGGCCTCGGTGAATGGCATAGGCAGCGGCAGTTGGGGCCTTAAGTGGAAAGTCGTTCTGGAGGAACTTGGGCTGCTTGAGCTGGGACCGCCTCATGGACCAATCTGCAGAGCTCCTACGGTTGACGGTGGCTTCACCAAAAGGCCCGTGTCAACTAGTGAGGGGACGAACATGATCAATGCGTACCTGGGATACAGAGATGGTGACCAAGCCGCCACAACCACTCACTCCTTGAAGAGCACCCTGCTGGTTTGGGCAGCGCGATACGGCTTGAGCGAGCCAGTACGCGGTTTGTTGGGGCACCATTCTTTGAAAGAGAATAGTGTGGCATGCTACAGTCGGGACATGTTGAGCCAGCCCATGCGTGAGCTTTGCGCCATGATCTACAACATCAAGCTTGGGAACTTCGTACCAGACGGGACACGCTCTGGGTGGATGGTACGCAAACAGGCACCGTTGTTCGAGCCACATGCACCTGGTGACGATGAGGCAGATTACTTTGGGAGTCCGTCGGTTCTGGAGGGTGAAAAAGATGTTTCTGCCGACACCGGCTTTGACCCGAACAACCCCTTCGGAGAGCCCGAACGATCTGGCAACGCTGAAGAGCACATCGAAGAGCCAGAAGAAGGTGCTCGAGATGATGGAGACGAAGATGGCGAAGACTTCGTGGAGCGCGCCAGTGAGAGTGAAGATTCGAGCGCAAGTTCCGACAACGAAGAAGAGCTGCACAAAGAGAAGGCCAGCGTCATCGAGAGCGGCTTGGAGCCAGAGGTAAAAGGGCCTTTGATGCAGAACAAGAGGAGCCGCATGCTGCACACGCAGAACCCTGACCCGAAGAACCTTTTGCAGCCTGTTACGTCATGTGGACTCCATGGCATCGGTTTCACCGTCTTGGCTGAGGGGTCGATCTTTAGCTGGCCCAAATGTAGCAAGTGTTTCAAAGATGCTGACAACAAGTCGGTGATAGATGTAGTCAACGCCAGCAAGCGTCGGCGTATCTGAAGGCAGCAGGCCTTACCTAAGAAAGCGACTCAAAATGTAGAGAGTTGAGCTAGGGGTGAATGAACTTGCATCAGTGGAGCGTTTTGCTGATTGCCGCCGCATTCGACGTGAGGTCACTAGAACGGCAAGCATGACGTTTGTTTGGGTGACATGAGGTCCTGTTTCTTTGACAAGAGGTCGCAGTGTTTCTCTTTGTTAGACGTAGCTTAGGCCACGAGGGCAAATACTCTTGAGGAGCCACGTTCGGTTCGATTCGCGCCATGAGGGCCCCTGAGTTGTCTCGATTCCTTCTTTGATGATCGTGGCCATGAGGGCTCAGCAACGATCCTGCCTTGAGGGCTCTGTGATTTCAAGGAGTCGTGAATTCATTGACATGTTCTAGGAACGCTTCATGTGTTTTCATGTGCTACACAGTTTGTTTTCTTGAAACTCGCACGCCTTTCCTCGATCATGGCGGCAGCTACCAACCTCACGGAGAGCACTGCAGCGTTTGAAAAGCAGGCTGCGAACCTGGGGCTGGAAGATGGTTGGGTTCAAGCTTTGAAGAATGCCGGGGTCACAACATTGGGGCGGTTGGCCTTCAGTTGTGGACAGCCTGGGACGCCAGTCACCGAACAAGACGTTCGCAACCTGATGACAGCAAGTGACCCTGGTGGCAGGATTACGGTTGGAGACCTTGCAACAATGAGAAGGTTGATCTTCGAAGCACAAACTGCCGTAGTTGCCTTGGCCAGATCTCAAGCAGACCCGAATGCTGATCCAACCTCGAGGAAGATGCCACCGGCAGAACGGAGCTCACGCATCGCCAATCAACGTATGAGGCTCCAAGGATTGTCAATGGAAGGGAACATGGAGGTGGCTCACCAGGTCTACGACCAGCTGAATGGAATGATGGAGGCTGACACCTTGAAGTACCTAGCACCGGCGAAGTGCATCACACGGATGCAAGAGATCACTTCAGCAAAGCCACCCAAAGAGTTGAAGCTGGACACCAGTGGCACTGGAATTACGGTCAAAGACTCAATTACAGAGCAGCAGTGCTCAACTGGCACAGAACTGGACCTGTTGGAGGCCATGACGCGCCGGAGCCTTGCCTTTGATGCAATGGGTTTGGTCGACTTTCACATCTTCCAAAAATGGATTCAATACCTCTTCAACTTGATGCGTCAGCCTCCGCCGCCAAACTTCAAGGCACCCACGTTGACACAGTTGCTCAGGGCAGACCGTCAAGCATTTGTTCGGCTCCAGGAGTTGAGCCGTGACGGCATCAAACCCCACGCAGATGGGACGCGGCCTTTGGACGCCTTGATCGACAACCTCCCCAAGGACCACACAGTCGTGTACTACATGTTGCCCACAGCCCAGGAGAAGACGCACCCAAAGCCTGCAAAGCCGGCAACGCAGAAAACAGAAACTGCGTCATGGAAGAATTGGAGCAACGAAAAGAGTTCTTCATGGAAGAGTGCAAAGCAGACACAATGGAAGAAGGGCAGCGGCAAAACTGGTGGATCCGGGAAGCTGCCCTACCAGTTGAAGAATTGTGCCTCGGCCACGCCAAAAGGCAAACGGTTGTGCTTCGCCTACAACATCGATGGTTGTGACAAGGCAGCAGCAGGTGACTCGTGCGAAAAGGGCGTGCACGTGTGTGCCACGAAGGGGTGCTTTGGCAACCACCCCCACTACTCGTGCCCCAAGAAGTGACAGAAGGGGTGGGCTGGGGACGAGCCCAAGCATGATGTCGTCCCGAGAATTCAATGCAAAGCTTCTCCTGCTGACGAAGATCAACAAGGAGCACAGATCTCATCCTCCGCTGCAGATGTCTGTCAAAGCAGTTTCGAAAGCAGAGGATCAGCAGAGTTTCACAAAGAAGAACATGATGGCAGCCACCACCAGACAGTTCCTATACAAGGTGGCGAGATACAAGAGACCAGGCCGTTCTGCATCGAATTTTGCTCCGGTACAGGTGGCCTAACGGCCCAACTGCGAGCGCTTGGCTTGACCTCCAGCTATGGAGTCGATCGAGTCGTGAAACCAAGATCCAAGTGTCCCATCGTCAAGGTTGACCTCACAACTCCACATGGCGAAGCACTTGCCAAGAGCTGGTTGTCGAATCCACTCTGTGCTTACGCGCACTGGGGCATCCCTTGCGGTACTGCATCTCGGGCTCGCGAGATCGACCTCAAC